TATAATCCTCTTTTAAACTTGTATCTGATGGGCCAAGTTACCTGTAGCCACTGTTTGCTGACATTCCCAGACACTATGAATCATTCCAAATGTGCTATGTCCTGCTAGGACAGGTGGACTTGCTTTGCTATGTGTCCTCCATTGAGGCATAAGATGCTACCTCTGGGAACAGCCCACAACTTCAGATTGTCTCTGTTAGGGTACTAAGTGCTTGAAGTCAGTAATGGGCTGGATGAGGGTGACCAAGCTGACACTTAATCCAGACAAGACGTAAGTGCTGAAAGACATAGCAGGAAGGCAGATGAGGGACTTGAGATCTCTCCTGTCTTGGATGGGGTTACACCCCCTTTGGAAAGTCAGGTTTGCAGCTTGGGAGTTCTGCTCAACACAGCAGCCACTGCTTGGGACTGGGGTATCTGAAGGACTGTCTTCTCCAATACGTTCCTGCCCAGGAACTAAGACCACAGGGAATGGCCCTCTTGACTGCCCATTGACCAAAGAAGCTAGGCCACCCCAAGCTAGGTCACCCCTGGGTTACACTCGACCACCAAGTTTGTGCATCTCCAGTATTTGGAGTGCCTGGTGACAGAGTAGGCAAAGGACCCCCTTCATATCCATGAACAGCCTTAAAAGAGGAAATACCAATGGAATTGTGCACCGAATTGTTATAGCTATATTCAGCAAAAGGGAGCAGTGACAGGTTGCTCATACTGTGCTGGAAAAAGACGTTTTATTCCATTCAGAAACTTAAAAACAATATTTCAGCACAAGATATTGCTATCGGTGAACTAGACTCCTTTTTGTAAGCTCTTCTAAATCACCAAAGAAGCTCGTCTGGTGGTAACATGAGAGAAGGCCTTTTTAGTGGCAGACCCATGAATATGGATCAACCTCCCAAAGAAAGTGTGTCTGGTCCCCTCTCTCTTGATCTGTAGGAGTCACTGAACACAGTTTTATTCATGATGAGATTTGATTAGTTGATTAGTTCTTCCTGCCAGCAGTTTTAAATTATCGATTTCAATGAATGTTTTCTATGTATTTTATGTGTTTTGTTATTATTTACATTGTAAGCTGCCCTTAGTTCCTATAAGGTGGAAAGGCAGTTATTAAACGTTTTAAAAACAAACAAATAAATAAATGGAAGAATTACCTCTGTCCTTCAGGATTACCTTTCTAATCACTGCATACCATTAGGTTGGTTCTTAGTGACTTTCTTTTTTCTGTGTGCAGCCCGTTCTCTTCAGTCTGAAGCTATCAAAAGCTATGCCCACTGAATTACATCTTCTCCCAAAATGGAAGAGAGGGATTTCTAACTCAGGAACTGCTAGGCTTGTGAAGTCCCCCCGGGGGGCGGGGAACCCCCCCCCCCAGAGGCCCGTTCCCCGCCGGCAGCGGATCGGGCCCCGGGGGGAACCCCACCCCCAAAGCACATGACGTGCCCAGCGTCAGCACATCACCTGGAAGTGACGCAGCCACGCCGGGTGCGCCGGGGGCGGGGCCGCGATCATCTGAGGGAAAACTCTATGTTTTTCCCTCGGATGACTGCGGCCCTACCCCCGGCGCGCCCGCGTCACATCTGGGTGACGTGGTTGTGGTGGGTGCGCGCTAGCTTACCACGGCTGGAGTCCCCCACTGTGCATACAGCGGAGACTTGGCAGCCCTAGGAACTGCTCATAAGCCATTATTTATTTATTTGGATATTTATAACCCAATTTTCTCCAAAAGGGAACTCAGAGCAACAATACTGCTGTCCTCTCCTTCATTTTATCCTCACAACAACTCTGTGAGGTAGGTTAGGCTGAGAGAGAGAGTGACTGGCCAAAGGTCACCCAGTGAGCTTATTTGGCAGTGGAGATTTGAACCTGGTTCTCCCTCGTCTGTGTCCCGCACTCTAACCACAATGGCAGGTGAAAACTTTTTTGATTACCATTGTTTTATGGAATTTTACATGTATCTTGAAAGTTACACTGTCTAGTAAGACTGAGACTCTTGTAATGGTTTCTAAATTGTGAGCCTATGTTCAAGGTTCTACGGAGTCTGTGACCAACATACCTACAGGACTGTCTCTCCCTGTATGTGCCCTGAAGTGGTCTACGATCAGCAGGCCTTTTCTGCCCTGGCCCCAGCCTGGTGGAACATGCTCCCACTTGAAATCAGGGCCCTGCAGGGCCCAGCTAGGAGATAGGGTTTCTTCCCCCTCTTTTCTCTCACCTTCAGGTGAAGGGTGGTCTTCCTTCCCATCACGATGACAAAGTGTTATCCATTTCAAAGTGTGATAGATGTGGTCTGAGCACATTTGCATTTGTTGTTCTCAGGGCTGGAACTCAATGTACAAACCACTTCCACCACACTTTGCATCCTTTATTTCTGTTGTGAGCTTTTTTTCTCAAAACTTGGGGGAATTTGGTTGGGGACAGGAAAACAGAGGAGGGGGTTGTCAAGGCCACAACTCCTCAGCCTTGACCTTATAAGTCTTTCCATCGGTTTCCAGATACCAAGAGTTCAGATACGCCCCAAATTTGCTATAAGAGGCAGCTATAAAAAGCCTAGCTGGATGAAAGTTTTCGACAGTGGCTTTTCCAACTGCAGCTGAATCTCTTAATTCCAATGGCCTTGTTGTTCATCTTTGGCCTGAATGCTGTTGTAGGTGCAGGTAAGAGATGAAGATAGGGGGATTTAATTTGTTCCTCTATGTATGCAGGGCTTTTTTCCTGGAGGACCGCACTGGAACGGAATTCTGGAACCTCTTTGACAAAATTCTTTTTAAAATGTTTAAAAGTTCATGAGTTTTCAGTATACAGACAGTTCTGCCACCTCTTTTTTAAAGCCCTGTATATAAGTTTACCCTTTTTAAAAGCTGTACTCTCACAGCTGGTGTCCTACTGAGATTTTCTGATAATGGAACAGTTACCGTTATCCACTTCCAAAGGACCTCAGATTCGGGGTCGGCTGCAGCATCTCTAATACTACCTTGTCTTGTTTTATGGAGAAGCACCTAAACTAAGAAGTTGAGCAATAAATAACATTAGATTTGGTTGTATTCTGATCTCTACACAATTAATATTGGTCCTTTTGTTTTTACAGCCTTGGCTGGATCCCATCTGGTTCCCGAGACATGTCTGCAGGGTCCAGAGTTCTGGTGCAAGGATGTGACCACAGCTGTTGAATGCAGGAGGGAGCAATACTGTTGGGACCTCCAGAGTAGCGCTTTGTTGGTAAGAGTGAGACATTTATTCCATTTGCATCTCACGTCTGTTCTTGCCATTCTTTCTCCACATTTCCCACTTACACGAAATTTATTAACGTACATAATATAATGAATGTCCTTCATGTGTATGTATGAAAGTGTTCAGACGGGGCATTTATGCCGGTATAGATGCCGGTTGGAATCGGTGTACTTACAGGCGATCACACGGCGAACATCTGCCTTCCGTCCCTAACTGTTGCAAACAGCTTTAAACCGTTGTATTCTACTACTAGGTCCCCAAGTGGTGGTATCCTGAGTGCACTGGTTCCAACCGCATTATCCCCATCTGATCGCTCTCCGCCGGTGTCTAGCCACTTCTGTTCAGAAGCCCGAGGCTTCCGCTTTTCAGCCGCCAGTTTTTTAAAAGTCTCCTCAGTGTGCGCTTGGGCGAAGCTTCGCCCCGGCATTTGTAAAACAAACAAAAAAAAGGGCCTAGTGTAAGGCTTTAGACAAGTCCGGGACCTCACGAAGGCCAGTTTCAGAGTAAAAATTTAAAGGGACATCTTCGCTTCAAGGCATGCTTTCCGGGTTGGGTTGTTCTGCGCCTGCGCAAAGATCTTCATTATAAGGAAGCCTGCTTATGCACATGCGCAAACTGTGTAAAAAAAAAAAAACTGCCGACGCGCTCTGCTGAGTGCCTGAAGTGTGGACAGGCATATCGCGATGTGCTGTGCAGTCAGGAGGTAAGTGTGATCGCGTTTCTTCCGGTTCAAACTGCTCCGGTTCCAACCGGTTCCAACCAGAGTGTGTTTTTTATTTTTTTTTATTTTTTTAAAAAAACAATTTATTAGGATATATTTAGACTGTCAAAAGAAGCCTTCGCCCACCCTGAGCAATTTCAGAGTGCGTCAAATTGCCATTTTGCCCGACCAGAAGCCCCCCAACCAGAGTGTGTTAAGTGCCATCCAGCTGCTTCTGACCCATGGTGTCCCTATGTATTAATATTCTCCAAAACCTCCTATTTGGGGGATGGGGTTAATGTGCATGTGTATGTACCTGGAAGTCATGGCAACCTCTGGTGACTGACCCCTACTGGGGGCCTGGAGGATATGCAGAGAGGTGGCTGAATAAAGCCTGCCCCTGCCTCCCGACTGCTGGTATTCCTTGGAGGTCTCCCATCCAAGTACTTGCCAGAGTGAACCCTGCTTAACTTCCGAGATCTGATGAGATCGGGCTTGCCTGGGCTCCCCAGGTCAGGGTGGCTTCCTTGATAGAGTCAATCCATTTCATGTTTGGTCTTCCTCTTTTCTTGCTGCCTTCAACTTTTCCTAGCATAGTCTTTTCTAGTGACTCTGGTCTTCTCATAACATGACCAAAGTACGATAGCCTCAGTTTAGTCATTCTAGTTTCTATGGAGAGTTCAGGCTTGATTTGATCTAGAACCTACTTGTCTTTTTGACGGACCACAGTATCCATAAAACTCTCCCCCAACACCACATTTCAAAGGAATCTACTTTCTTCCTGTTAGCTTTCTTCATTGTCCAACTTTCACACCCATCCATTGTAATGGGGAATACTATGGCATGAATTAACTTGACCTTGGGTGCCAACAACACATCCTTTCACTTAAGAATCTTTTCCAGCTCCCCATTCCTTCGTCTTTAAAAGGGCCAAGTACTGTGCTGCCTGTCTCTGCACAGTGGCTGTGATGGTGTCCTCAGTCCTCAGAGAGCCAGTCTGGTGTAGTGGTTAAGTGCGCGGACTCTAATCTGGGAGAACCGGGTTTGATTCCCCACTCCTCCATTTGCACCTGGCTGGATGACCTTGGGCAAGCCATAGTTCTGTCAGAGCTGTTCTTGAAAAAGAGCAGTTTCTGTCAGAGCTCTCTCAGCCCCACCTACCTCAGAGGGTGTCTGTTGTGGGGAGGGGAAAGGAAAGGAGTTTTTAAGCCGCTCTGAGACACCTTTGGGTAGTGAGGGGCGGGGTATACATCCAATCTCTTCTTCTTCTTCTTCCTCGCCACCCTGCTTACTCCTGAGGCTGGAGAGGGGGGCTCAGGAGAGGTGTTTGCCCCATACCACCAGCTAACCAAGATCTTTCCCATTGGCCATAATAGCCAATCCATCTCCAACAGCCACAGAGGAAAAAGCAGCTGAAGGGGTACCTGTTTGTTTCCAGTGGAAACTACAGTTCTGGGGGAGGGCTTTTGGTTGTGTGTTTTTCTTTACTCCCTCCTCCTATATTCACATGGTTTCTCTGATAGAAACTGGAAGCCCTGGGCTGTTTTGATCCCAGCAGAGGGAACGAAGAGGTCCCCACTATTTTTCTCTGGCTAACAGCAGCTCAAAATGGTGGAGGTTGAGAAAACAGGATCAGGGTGGGGAAGAGTTTAAAAAATCTTTCCCCAGTCCTGATACAGATTGTGGGGCTCACATCTAGCTTTTAAAGACAGACGGCGTGGTATAGTGGTTAAGAGCAGCAGACTAATCTGGAGAACTGGCTTTGATTCCCCACTCCTCCTCATGGAGCCTGCTGGGTGACCTTGGGCTAGTCACAGTTCTCTCAGAACCCTCTCAGCCTCACCTATCTTTCAAGGTGCCTGTTGTGAGGAGAGGAAGGGAATGTGATTGTCAGCCGCTTTGAGACTCCTTAAGGTAGAGAAAAGCTATAAAAACCAACTCTTCTAACGATAAACTACTCATTGAGGGTACATCCGAGTCCCCTGTAGAGCTGGTCAGAGCAGACAGTATTCAAGTAGATCTATCAATGGCCTGACAGTAGGTGCACCATCCTCTCTTCAGTTGTGGAATTTGATCACCTTGAGGTTTTGTTTGCGACAGTGGGAAACACTCTCAGCTCCCGTTCCAGGGAAGAAATGCTCTGTGTGCATTAAGATCATGCAGAAGCTCCAGGACCTGGCTGGAGAGGATCCGGATGAAGTAAGTGTCCCATTTATTTTCTCACTGTTGCTTAGTCTATTAACTGGGCTCTGGGGGAAGAGCTATTGATCTGTTGCAAACCAAAAGCCCACAGAGCGATTCCACTGCTAAAGCTACGCTAGGATGGCTGGCCCAATAAGCAGTTTGGATGGGAGAGCTCCTTGACTGCACTGAGGATGGGAGGGGCATGTGCTACAAATACAATGTGCACAACTAAGGTTGCCAATCTCCGGGTGGGCCCTGGAGATCTCCCCAAATTACAACTGATCTCCAGACTACATAGATCAGAACCCCTGGAGAAAATGGCTGCTTTGGAAGGGGAACCCTGCTGCGGTCCCTTCCCTCCCCATTCCCTACTCACCCTAGGCTCTATCCACAAGATCTCCAGGAATTCCCAGCCCAGAGCTGGCAACCCTATTAACCGATGTTCAGATTCTATACCTCAGCTGAACCTGGAGATGCTGTAGGAGCTCAGAAACACCCCCTTCTCATTCATGTGTTTTGTGCTTGTTACAACTCTGTGCTTGCTCTATATCAGTGATGGTGACCCAAAACCCACTTATTTATCGCAAAGTGCCAACACGGCCATTTAACCTGAATACTGAGGTTTTACTTTAGAAAACCAATACATTAACTTAAGATGATCCAAACAAAGTAAGGAAAGCAATCCCAAATGCTTTCATTTACTTAAAATTATTTGGCAGAGAATTCAACACTTTAATGACGGTCTGGGCCTGGCTGGGGCGATGGCACGCGTGCCCACAGAGAGGGCCCTGAGTGCCACCTCTGGCACCCATGCCATAGGTTCGCCACCACTGCTCTATATCATGCCCGGCCATTGCAGAGACTGGAGAAAGGAGCTAGTTCCTGTGACCACAGATTGATCCAGTCTGTTCCTGGCTTAGAAACAAAAGAGAGAGAGAGATAGCGCAGAGACTCTTTGTTGGATTCCAGAGATCTCCCAGACATTCTGGTTTTTCCATTTAGGTCCCCAGCTCAGACCTTGATACCTTTACCACCTGGCAGGGCCGGAGGAGAAGAGATTAGTCGGGTAAAAGGAAGACAGAGGCGCGGGGGGGGGGGTGTAAGACAGAGCTATGGAACAAAAAGGAAAGCAATGTATTATTTGTGACAGGCATGCATTAGGGGGAATGGTCTGTCTGAGGAGTGCTGCTGCCAAAATGCTACCATTACAGTTTTGTTGTTGTTGTTGTTGTTGCAGGAAGCAATTAATAATGCAATTCAAAAGACATGTCAGGCTCTGGGCAAGCCCCTGAGTTGGGTTTGCAAAACCATGCTGAAAAAGTTCAAAAATAAGATCATACAGGCAATGGAGAATAATGAGGATCCTAAAGAAATATGTGTTGACCTCAAAATGTGCCGAAGTGACTCAAGGGTACTCTCAGGTAAGAGCAGGAAGCAATTTGTCTTGAT